TCCTCCTCCTCCTCCTCCTCCTCCTCCTCCTCCTCCTCTTCTTTGACAGGGTTTCTCTCTGCCCTGGACTTGCTTTGTAGAGCAGGCTGCAGGGAGGCCTTGCACGCTCAGAGATGGTGGCCAGGAATTCACTATGTAGACCAGACTAGCGCCAAACTGACAGAAATCAGTTGCCTCTGCCTCCGAAATGCAGGAATTAAAGAAATGGAAGCCCATGATGCACCATTACTTTCATTTATCTCTCTCCCATTCTTCTCTCCTACTTTTGAGTTGTCGGGGGCAGGGGAGGAAGTCTCGGTTTAGGTAGGGGTGCTTGGATGAGCATAGGTGGGGGTTTGTGTTCCAGAGCCTGGGCAATTGATCAATGGTCACACAACTGAAGAAAATGACTTCCTTCTCCAGCAACCATTAACTGCCAATAGTCCCTCAGGGAGAGACAGGGCCTCCTGAGCCCAGAGGGAAGTTTTTCCCTACACTCCTGGGCTCCCACGCAGAGAAGCGGCCTTTCAGTGCTTGTTCTGTTTCGCTCTGGTTTGTTTAGTTATGGTGTGGCCTCACTCTACAGCCCAGGGTGGGCCTCCAACTCAGTCCTCTGGCAGAGTGCTAGCCTTGCAGCCCTGTGGCTCCCAGTCAAGATCCAGCCTTCTGAGATTCACTCAGAGCACCAGGCCACAGCACGCTGAATAAATTTGGTGACCTACGGCCTCTTCTTGGAGAGATCTCTAGATTTTGCTGGGGGAACCATTCAAACTATCCTCTTCCCATTGCATTCTCTACAGTGAACCCCCTTTCATCTTAATGGGCCCTACCCATTGAGGTAGATTCTAGATCTTTCTCCTATATTTTTAGTTGGCTCAGGCCTCTGACCCCTCCATAGCATCGTTTCAAAGCAGGGAGATGGCCAAAATAGGCAGTCAGAAGAGCGCAGCCACTCATTCCTATGGCATCTGCTCAGTCTCTCAGCAGCCTTGTCAGTGAGCCTCTCAGAGTTACAGGCTGGGCCATAGTGTCTCTGCTTCTTCATTCACAGTGTGGGAACGGGAGGTGTGTGTGTGGGGTGGGGGTTGCAGAACGAGGTCCTCGGGAGGCTGCTGACCGCTGACAACTCCGAGCGATACTGTGGGTGTCCTGCGCAGGCTCCTTGCGCTGGGTCAGTCTGCACTAGGCTCTGATGACTAGGCTGTCACCCTTTCTCCGCTTGTCTTTGGCTATCAGGAGGGTTGTTAATGATTCACTACAAGAAACTACTATTGCCACTTTTTTGTTTCTTTTGTGGGGGAAGTGGAGTGGAGCTCGGCACACCTGCGGAAGTGGAGGTCAGAGGACAACCTGCAGGGGTCTGATCGCTCCCTCTCCCACATCAGTTCCTGGGAGCAAATTCAACTCACCAGGCCTTGCAGCAAGCACCTTTACCCACTGAGTCACCTCGGAGGCCCTTGTCAGCATGTTTTAACTCTTAATGAATTGCTGTATAGAAATGATACCCTTTAATAAAGGCAGGCAACCCTAACAGACTTATTCTATTGAAGTATGACCAATTCATCAATTGACTGATTAAAAACATAAAACAAACAAACAAACAAAAATTTTGTTGAGCACTGGTATGCATACTGCACAATTTGATATGAACAGGAAATGAAGAAACGTTAAAAAAAAAATAATAATAATTCTTGACCCTAAGAGTGTGTTTTTGTTTTTCCAGTGCTAGAAAATCCTACCCAGGACCTCGAATTTGCAAGGCAAGTGTTCCCACCACTGAGCTACACCCCATTCTCTACAGGACGACAGTCTTAACTAGGACGAGTAAGTGCCCCCACGAATCCCTGCACTACAGAGGGAGGACAGGAGGACAGGTCAGTAGGAGTCGCTGGAGCCGGCAGAGGTGAAGAAGGGCGTTTCCACTTACCAGGCCACCAGGCAGATGCTTGGAGATTTCTTGGGGACAGCCTAGTTCTCTTTGTACCTGGGAGGCCAGCACCAAGATTAATAAAGGCAAGTGGAGCACGCAGTGAGCATTATAAAGGAAATGGTTCAAAAGCCTCTGTGTGCACCTAACAGGGGCTCAGTGTGCAGGTTCTTTATTCTCACTTAGTAAAATGGGTTGACTGCCAATCACTTCCTTTTAATAGCCAGAGAAACCAAAGTTGCATTGCTCTTCCCTGTTCCTCAGGGCAACTAATACAAGAACAAACAGGGTTCAGTACCAGGAATAAAGTTGACTCATACTCTCAGGCTTTCTCTCCTTTTAGAACACATTGACTGACGACTTGGAATGGGATGATACTCATTCTCATAAGGAAATGAATGAAGTGGCCAAAGGCAAGAGGTTAGCAGAAAGCAGGAGATGAAGAGGAGGCAGTGACTACTGTACTGTTCTCTGTGTAGTTTGGTTTTGATTTTTGCATTTTTTTAAAAAAATATGGAACGTTTCACAAATTTGTGTGTCATCCTTGTGCAGGGGCCGCCATGCTAATCTTCTCTGTATCATTCTGATTTCAGTATAGGTGCTGCCAAAGGGAGTGAAGGTTTTTGCATTTTAATTAATTAATGAGTTATTTTTAAATATTTATTTATTTATTATATATACAATGTTTTGTCTGCATATACACTTGCACTCCAGAAAAGAGCACTAGATCTCATTACAGATGGTTCTGAGCCACCATGTGGTTGCTGGGAATTGAACTCAGGACCTCTGGAAGAACAGTCAGTGCTCTTAAACCTCTGAGCCATCTCTCCAGCCCCTGGTTTTTGCATTTTTGAGATGAGGTTTCACTATGCAACAGAGCTGGCCCTGAACTCTTCATCCTCTTGTCTCTTCTTTTTGAATAATGGAACAACAGGCACGCGCCACCATTCTCAACTGTACTTACTATACTGTTTTAGGCAAAACCAAGCCTCTTCCTCTTAGAAGAAACAGTGGCCCTGAGAATCTTAGAGGAAAAGGTGATCCTGCAAAGGCCCTATTTTAGGCAGAAAGACAAGGATGCCCCAAAGCAATACCCCTAACATCCTAGGAGCATAGAGCATGTGCTGAGAACACAGGAAGCCTTTTCCCCCCTACAGTATACATTTGCTGTCTCTTCTAATACTCCTAGCTGTCCCTTAAGTCTGCAATTACCATTTAATATTCATATGCTTGTTTTTATATCCATTCTGTACCACTTGAGGGTAGCCACAGTGATGTCCTATCCTCTCTGGCAACAAGCTCAGAGACCACTCTTGTTCGGTCATTAGGAAATGTTGTTTGATTTGATGTTATAGAAGATTTGGACTTCGAGGGCAAACAGCTGCAAGGTCTGGCAACCCATAGGTCTGGCCAAGAACTTCCACCAGACAAGCAACATTTGGCAATGACAGGGGCATTCCATTGAAGTACAGGAGGGGTGGGTTATGAAACAGTTCTGCAAATAAAATGGATTTTCTGGAGTGGCTCAGTTCTTTGAAAAGCAACGGAAGATGTCACCTTCACAGATATCACGCGCATGTATCTCTTCCAGGTTTAACTAGGAAGAGGCACAGTTAGTTTTCTGTTACGGGGCATTATGCTACATGCTGTGCTCATAGGAAAGAGATGTTTAATCTCACTGAGGGGCTGGAGAGATGGCTCGGCTGCACAGTGCTTGCTGCAAGGGCATGTGGGCTGGAGGGTTCAGATCTCCAGAAGCCATGTAAAATCTGGGTATGGCTAGACTTAGCGGTGGTCTATCAGTGGGGTGGGGAGAATGGAGACCAACAGATCCCCAGAACTCAGTGACCAGCTAGTGTAGACAGTTAGTGAGCACCCCCACATTCAGGGAGGCTTTCTGTCAAAAGACAAGGTAAAGAGTAAAAGATACTGAGTGTCGACGGGGGTGGGGGTGCAGGCCTTTAGTCCCAACACTCAGGAGGCAGAGGCAGCTGGATTTCTGAGTTCAAGATCAGCCTGGTCTACAGAGCGAGTTCCAGGACAGAGAAACCCTGTCTCAAAACAAAACAAAAACAAACAAACAAAAACAACTAAACACACTCAGTGTTGATTTCTGGCTTCATATATATGCATAACACATACAGGTGGACACACTTTTGCACATACATGTGTGAGCGTGGGCAAACACACATAAAAATCTCAATGGGGAGTCAATATGCAGATAGGTAAAGTAATCAGAAATTTGAAGTCAGTTACAAATTAAATATTACAGTATGGCTGTTGCAGATGTCTGTATATCCTAAAAGACTCATGTGGTAAAGGTTTGGAAGCCAGCTAGTGAACCTAAGCATTCATGAGCGATTGGATCATGAGGGCTCTGACCTAGTCCATGCAGTAATATATTATGGGTTCATAACACAATGGCATCACCCATGGAGGAAATGCTAGCAGTGGGGTCTGGTTAGAGGAAGTGATTACTAGGGTCATACCCTAGAAAGGAGGACATTTCCCCAGGCCTCACCCTGACTCTCTTTTTACTTCCTGGCAGCCATGAGAGTGATCATCTCTGCTCTGCCTCCTTGCTGCTCCTTCCAGCATGGCGCATCTTGCCTTGGGTCTGAAGGCTAGCTGACCACAGACTGGAACCACTGAAACTGTTAGCCACAGTAAACCCTACCTTTAACTGTTTTGCTCAGGTATTTGTCACAGAGATTAAATGTCTGGCAAGAGAATGTCCTAAAGAAGACAGCCTTAAGATGGGTCTCTGGAAGTCCTCCAATTCCATGGAGCTTTGTTCCTCAACCCTATGGGCATTTGAAACATTAAAAAGTCTATCCCTCCCTCTACCTCACCCTCTATTAAATCAAGATGGTTTTTCATTTGCAGTATAACCACGTATGTGCCTTTTGTCGCTCTAGCCTCTTAGTTTGCGTCTTTAACTGTAATTTGAATATTAAGTGTCATTCCACTTTAAGGATTTTAAAGAATTGTTGTGTGACACCATTTCTGGAGTAACATAAGCAAATAAATGTTCGCTGACCCCCAGATAGGGAACGGAGGACAGAACAAAGTAAGGATAAACTTTCAGGGACTTTCTGAAGCCATTGGGTTACTTCCTGAACTTAAAGAGTTTCAGGCCTGAGGGAGTGTTTGACCTCCGTTTTAACATCCTGAATCTTAATGAGCTTCACTTATTTTATTTTGAAACATGGTTTCTCTATGTAACTCTAGTTGATCTGAAACTAGCTGGCCTCAGAGATCCACCTGCCTCTGCCTCCCAAGTACTGGGATTAAAGGCATGTATCACCTCAGCCCAGCTTAAAACAGAAGGTTTTAATCATGGCAGAAAATGCCACACAACAGCAAATATAAGAAGATAGTTCCTGCCTCTGCTGGGACTAAATGGGATTAAAGTGTTGGGATTAAACAGGATTAAAGGTAGTGTCACTACCACTGACAACTGTCTCTTTGTCAGTATCTCTGGTTTCTATGGCTTCTGTGTGTGTGCAACTCTGTGTGTGTGTTGTTTTAAGACAGGGTCTCACTATGTAGCTCTGTCTTGGAACTCACTGTGTAGACCAGGCTGGCCTCAAAGTCACAGAGATTCTCCTGCCTCTGCCTCCTAAGTGATGGGTCTAAATGCATGTGCCACTGTGCCTTGCTCTGTGGCCAGTATTTTATGGTCACCCACTTTTCGTGTCCATGAGTCTTTTTACAAATTGTCTAAAGCTCCTTAGGTCAGAACCCTGAATCACGGATTCATTGTAGGGTTTGTTGGTTTGTTGGTTTGTTCCATAAGTGTATAGCCTTTCTTCATTGAAGTCGAGGCTTAGTTGGTAGACTTCCTGCCCAGCACGTACAAAGCCCTGGCTTCAATTCCCAAGGCTCCAAAAAACAAAACTGGGAGTAGCGGTACACATGTCTATCTCAGCACCTGGGAGGCAGAAATAGGATGATCAGAAATTCAAGGTCCTCCTTGGTTACATACCAAGTCTGAGTGCAGCCTGGGCTGCTCAAGGCCCTGTCTCAGAAACAAGTTAGAAATCTCTGACTTGTTCCCGAGTGACAGCTCAGACACAAGGGGTTCTCTTTCAAGACAGGTGATGGTGGTGCATGCCTTTAATTCCAGCACTCAGGAAGCACAGGCAGGCAGGCAGTCTCTGAGTTTGAGGCCAGCCTGGTCTACAGAGTGAGTTCCAGGAAAGCCAAGGCTACACAGAAAAACTTTGTCTTGAAAAAACAAAAACAAAAGGGGCGAGGGGACATTCTCCTTTTCTCTTTCATTAGTTTATTGTTGCCGTTATTAATTATTGATCTTCTTTTTAGTTTCAGTACTGTGTAACAGTGCCTTACAAGCAGTAACATCTTGGATTCAAATTCAGTGTGAGTGTTCTTAATGCTTCATAGCTTACACAATTAGTTTGATTATCACGATAACCTTATGATACTAGGAGAAAAATATTACCCCTTATTTTACCTATGGGGAAAATATAACAAGTTAAATTTAATATTTGTTTTTCATTTGCGTGTATGTATATATATACACATGTGTTCAAGTAGCTTTGGAGCCTAGAAGAAGGTGCTGGATCCCCTGGGGCAGAGTCTGTGATTAGTTAGATACCAAGGTGACAATAATCTAGGCAGTGGGCACCTTCATGTCGTCTCATGTGAGACGCTGAGTGCCAAACCCCCTACACAGTTCTTGACACATGACTTTTGATTCACCTGTACTCAGATTTCACAATGTACTTTTCAAACATTATTCTCCCTACACAACAACCTTCTAAGCCAGAAATGTTTGCTAGAATAGTAACTTGACTCCCCATAGTAACACATATGAAGACCCGTCGTGCTGAGGGTCATGCTTACATCTTCAATACCAAAGCCAGTTCTTTCCCCTATCCACCAGATCCTTCCATAGCCTTGTCCTTGATCGTTATAATCTATGTTAGAGGGACAAGGGTGAAAGGTAAATAAATGAAAGAATTATCTGCAAGCTGTTGGGTGTCTGATGTATTGGAGCTGTATCACTGTAGAGCCTTGTTTGCAAAACAACAGTGCTGCACTTTACAGACTCTAGGACACATATTGTCATATTTAATGCCTTTGAAGCCCAGGCTTATCTTATCATGGAAGATGTTTTGTAATTGTTTCTGGCACTCAGCCGTTCCACCATGACTGCCATTGCTTGTTCATGCACAAACTCACTCAGACATGACCAGGAAATGAAACTCATGAATATTTAAGTGTGTTGATTCAACCTTTCGTATAAAGAATACAAATCCTATTTATTGCTTGAACATCTCCCATAGACACAACCTAGTAAGCTCAAGAAAACATTAGCATTGAATCTTAAAGAACCAGGGCTGGAGAGACGGCTCAGAAGTTAAGAGCACTGACTGTTCTTCCAGAGGACCTGGGTTCAGTTCCAGCTCCTACATGGCAGCTAACCACTCTCTGTAATTCCAGTCCCAGGGAATCTGACACCCTCTTTGGTCCTATAGAAACACAAGACTTGCAACAAAATGCACACATAAAATGATGGAAATAAAATCTCAGAAGCAAAGAATGGGTGCACGAGGTTTGAAGGAAACTTCAGAAAGTTTCTAAAGTTTCC